GATATAGATGGCTGAAGGCATTTGGGTGGTTACGCAGGTGAAGAAAGGCAAAGACCCCAATGCCCCCAAGAGGCCCATGTCTGCTTACATGCTGTGGCTCAATGCTAGCCGAGAGAAGATCAAGTCAGACCATCCCGGCATCAGTATCACAGATCTTTCCAAGAAGGCAGGTGAAATCTGGAAGGGGATGTCCAAGGAGAAGAAAGAGGTGAGTAGCAGCAGAGAGGAGAGGTGGCAAATCTTGTAGCTAATAGAGGGGGTAGGGGGCCATTGGTAGAACTTTTCTGTATAGGTTTTGCCTGCATCAGGGAAGAAATCTCATTCTCTTCTCTTTCTCTCTCTCTCTTTCTCTCTCTGTGTGTGTGTGTGTGTGTGTGTGTGTGAGAGATAGGAGTGGGATCGAAAGGCTGAGGATGCCAGGAGGGAATACGAAAAAGCCATGAAAGAATATGAAGGGGGCAGGGGTGAATCTTCTAAGAGGTGAGTGTTGGGAACAGAATGGCCTAGTAACTGCTTTTTTGGCAGATATTTTTGCAGGTCCAAGTTGAGAATTGAGGTGTTAAAGATAATAGAGATGCCTCCTCTGACTGCAGGAGAACAGTGCTTCCCAAATCTGGCAGGCAGTTGCCTAAGTATGGGTAACATGCTAGGGAATTCCTGGTCACTGGATAAATATGGCCCATTTTCCTAGAGGGTCAATTTTATTTGAAGGTATGGGATAATTAAATATATATATTACTATTGATCGTCCTTCATATAAATTTTTAAAGGTAAAGTAAGAGATGTCAAATATAAATGTTTTGCACATGACTAGGACATGACCCGAGTCTTCTGGTGGTTCATTATGATGCTTTTCTTTGGAGCACTTGGGGTTGGCATGACTTCTGTTGACATTTATAGTGCAGGGGGCAGTGTGCCTGGGACCTAGAGAGGCCCTGTTGAAGCTGGGGGGAGGTTTGGCCTTGATGATGGGAGCCTGAAGGCCCAGCCCCTGGGCCCTCTTGCTAATGTAGGGACAAGTCGAAGAAGAAGAAGAAAGGAAAGGTGAAGATGGAAAAGAAGCCCACACCCTCTAGGGGCTCGTCATCCAAGTCATCGTCCAGGCAGCTCAGTGAGAGCTTCAAGAGCAAAGAGTTTGTGTCCAGTGACGAGAGCTCTTCAGGAGAGAACAAGAGCAAAAAGAAGAGAAGGCGGAGCGAGGTACAGCAGGTGTTTGGGGGCTGTGGGCCTGGAAGGGTGAGGGGCATCTGAGTTCAGGGTGGGAGGTGGCAGGTATTTCTGGGTCGAGGTTTGTGGCTGGTCCGTAAGTTATAGGATGGAGCAGATAGGCGGAATTCTGGGTTCTGAAGGCTAGTGTTGGCTTAGGGATGGGGATAGGGAACTGGGGGTCCTTCACCACTGAAAAGCACTGGGAGGGCAACCGGGATTATACCTTTCCCCTTAAGAGACACTTGGTTTTCAGGACTCTGAAGAAGAGGAACTAGCCAGCACTCCCCCCAGCTCAGAAGACTCAGCATCGGGATCTGATGAATAGACCGGAGGAAAATGCTCTCTCCTTGGGCTTGTCCTGTCACACCCCCCGTCTCCTCACCCATGTTTTTGTACCAGTTTCTCATACGAAATGTAGCCTTTGGATTCTGTGCCATCTGAACAAGCTCTCCTGGGGGTATGCACTTTGCTGGGACAGTAGGGAGGTGTCTCACTCCACTGCTGCTTCACAAGGATGGCTCTTTATAGTTTGTGGAGAGATGGGGTGGGAATCAGGGCAGTGGGGATTCAAATCCTTGTCCTTTCCCGACCCTTAGGGATATGGCTGCTGCTTGTCCTGTTCAAGTTGCTGCAGCAGGGGTCATGTGAGGTCAGGCCTGTAGCTCCTAACTGAGGCCTATTTCTACTTTTATTTTGTATTTCTGGTCTGTGGAAAAAAAAAAATCAACATTTAATAAAGGGAACTGACTTTGGAAACCATGTCCTTATGCCTTCTCTCTAGCCCTGTTGTATTGCCTTCACTGCTCTTGGTGGTGTTTACCACACCACTCTGGGCGGGGCCCTGCTGGCCAGCCAGGAATCAAGTCTTCAGGTACATCCTGTTCTGTTCCCGGCTGGACAAGCATTGGTTTTCACCCTCTTCTGCCTGGATGGGCCACCTGAGAGTCTAGAAATGGGAGCTGATCTGATTAGGAAGTCTCTCTCACAGTTTCACTCCATTAGCCAAGCTAAGGGGAGGCAGCTGCTGGCTCCATCCTTAATCACCTATGAATCAAGGGTCTTCCAAGGCTTTAGATAATAGAATCAGGATTGACTGGCCTCTGCAACCAGGAGAAGGGAAACCTGAGCCTGGAGAGCGGGGAGGATGAGC